AAACAGTTACCGTAAACAGCGACTTCAGAGCCGCAAGGTCGTCTGCTTATCCACAATGTGTATTAACAATCCCTCCGAATGGTGTCATCTTGAATGCCATCCGCTGCGTTGCAAGTGCCGGACTGGAGTACGACGTTGGGGCCTACGGGGTCGCCGTCAAGGCTCTATACTGCGAATCATCATGAAGTGAGACGGTGCTTATGACTCGCAAGGTATTGCTTCAAGAGTATATAATGAAGCTCAAAGTCGGGCAGAAGAAATGATGTGACATCCAGGAACACAGATCCAACAAACGAAGTTAACTCGCACAACCAAACGCAAACACCTACATCGCAATGGCATCCACACAAACACTCCTGGTGACCGGCGCCAACGGTTACATTGGCACCCACGTGGTCGGTCTCGCCCTCGAGCGCGGCTACAAGGTTCGCGCCACGGCCCGGTCCGAATCCTCCTTTGCCAACCTCCGCTCAACCTTCCCCGAAGCCGCTTCGTCAGACCGCCTCACCTTCGCCATCGTCCCGGATATCACTAAGCACGAGTCCTACAAAGACGCCCTCGCCGGCGTGACTGGCATCGTCCACACAGCGTCCCCTTTCATCGTCGACCCCAAGGACAACGAGGTCGACCTCCTTCAACCCGCCATCAACGGCTCCGTCGCCATCCTCGAGGCCGCGAAGCAGTATGGCGCCCAAGTAAAGAGCATCGCCAACGTCTCATCGTTCGCGTCCGTCATCGACCTGTCACAGGGCTACCGCGCGGGATATGTCTACACCGAGAAGGACTGGAACCCCATGACGTACGAGGAGGCGGCCAAGACGGACAGCGGCGTGGCGGCGTACTGCGCTTCCAAGGGACTCGCTGAGAGCGCGATGTGGAAGTGGATGGGCGAGAACAAGGATGCCGCCTTCACACTGGCCAACATCTGCCCTCCTTGGGTATTTGGTCCCTACCTGGGCAAGCTCGACCTCAACCGGTTGGCGACGTCGGTCGGTCTCTTGTGGAAGCTGGTTGGCGCCGCGTCGGTCTTCCCGACGGACTTTGCCGCATCAACGGACGTCAAAGATGTTGCCCAGGCTCTGCTCAACGCCATTGAGAGACCCGAGGCTGCTGGTGAGAGATTCATCATCGGTACGCACTTTGACTGGCAGACCGCGGCGGACATCCTTCGCGAGCAGGTCCCTGAGTTGAAGAGCAGGGTTCCGGAAGGCCGTCCAGGGTATGGCAAGATCGAGGAGACCTACACCATCGACACTAGCAAGGCGGAGAAAGTTCTGGGGATCAAGCCTACCCCTCTCGAGGTCACGCTCAAGGAGAGCATTCACCAGATGCTCGCCGCCGAGAAGGCGTCCAAGTCTGCTTGAACTGAGGGAACTTCACAGTAAAGCAACAGCATATCACGTGTAACGATTAGCGAAGGTGTATGGGAAACTTTGGCCTGTATTCATCAGATAGACCTGAATTCTAATGGCTCTCGGGCCAAATCTCTGCTTCATCCCTGCACCTCGGTGCAGTGTTCTCTTTCGAAAGAAAATCCTCGCTTGCTATGCATCTTGTATGCAACCAACTCCCAAGAAGAAATGAAACCCAAACGATCAAAAAATCCCAAAACCAAGATTCTTCGTTCTTGCTTAGTTGTTGGTGTGAGGAACGCTCCAGATGTCGGTGAAGACATCGTCGTCGGCGGCGAGCGGGGTGTGCTCCATGGTGTTGGCGATGAGGGTGCTCTGGTTCTGGCCGTAGATCTCGGCGACGAAGGCGTAGGTGAGATCCAAGCTGGAGGTGACCTATATCTCACGTCAGTAAGAAGTTCCTTTGCCTATTGAACTGAGTTGAAGATGAACTTACACCAGAGGAAGACCAGATGTTGCCGTCAATGACGTAGCGAGCTGGGGCAACCCAGTTCACCTTGGGGCCGAAGGCAGTCATCTGGGCCCAGGCGCGCTTGTTGGTGGTGGCACGCTTGCCGTCGAGGACACCAGCGCGGGCAGCGAGGCTGGCGCCGGTGCAGATGGTGATGAGGTACTTGACCTTGGGGTACGTCTCCTTGATGTACTCGACGATGGGTTCGAGGCCGGCAGTGCGGACGCCGGGGCCGCCGGGGACGATGAGGACGTCGAGGTCAAGGTCGTCGGCGAAGGTGGCGGTGGGCTGGATGACGGGCCAGAAGTTGGAGCCGAACTTGTTGAGGGTCGGGTCACTGGCGTTGACGACGCCGGCGATGATGGGGTCCATGGTGGGCGCGATGAGGTGGACGTTCATGTTGTAGGCGTGGGCGTTGAGCTGGAGGACGTCGAGGGGGCCCCAGATGTCGATCATGTCCAGGCCGTTGAAGATGAGGGCGCCGTAGTTGACCGGGAGGGCGGCGGTGCAGTTGGTGCCATTGGCGGCGCGGGTGGTGATGGTGTCCACGCGCGCCTGGACAGGGTTGCCGGCGACCACGGCAGTGAGCGAGGCCGCGATGATGGAGATGGTGAACTTCATTTTCGGCGGTTAAGCACTGCTTGAGGTATGGGGGTTATGGTGTTTTGTGAAGTTTCTGTTTGTGGGAGAAGAAAAATCGCAGAGCCCAGGTGAAGGCGAGAAGTGAAATTTCAAAGGTGAGTGAGTGAGGTGAAAGGCCTGGGGAAGGGAAGAGAGAGAAAGGAAGGTGGGTAAAGGAAAGGACCCTGGTCTCTAGCGCTTTGTTTTTCTCCAGAGGGTGTGATCAGTGGGCAGCATGTTCTTATACGTTCAATACTCTGCAATACGAAGAGTATTCCATATCTGTCTTTCAGCCTTCCTCCAGGGCCAAGGAAAGAGGTTCAGGGAGGGGACCGGGGCCGGCATTCGGAATCAGATTGCCCACGCAGGCAGCCCCGACCCGAAGGAACGGCGCGATGTGATCCACGCCAGGGATCCTCGTTTCGGTTGTATCACTGGCTTCTAGGAAACATTCCTCTGTATGCTGTCTGTCTGTTTGCATAGGCTGAGCGATTTTGAGGGTATTTTCCTCCCTTTTCTTCTTAGGACTTGGCTCTGCAGTCGTCTCCTTACTTGCTTCTTTGATCTGGTCTAAAACGCATGGCATTCTGCCAAGCGCGAGAGCTGGTTTGCCAAAGAAACTGTGTGACTGCCTGGCAATCAACTGTTGGTTGTTGTACGTTGCAGGGGGTCCCGGAAACAACACAAAGGGCAACGTCGAGTTATTGAAAGGGGCTGTTGCGGCGGGGGAGCCTCCGGAATACCTCGTGGGAATCTGCGCCAAGCTTTGCCTTTTAATATCGAATGGAGGCTCCAATTGGCCCATTGCGATGATGGCTGCTGATACCCAGATGACAGAAGCAAAAATGATCCCCCTTTTTGAGAAGAATCTGCGCCAGAGGCTTTTGACATTTTCGTGGCAGCTGAGCAGATGTGGACTTGGCAATAGACATTACCAGCTTCTACCGCGCAGTGTGCGGTGCCCAAGTTTGCGAATATGGCCGCTGCAAGTCTTGGTCCGCTGCTTGCTGCCCAAGATTTGGCTTGCCATTCGTAAAATGGGTCAACATTGCGTATTATGCTCCATTTCTAACGGTCGAGTAGCCAGGGTAATTGCCGGTTCCGAAGGGTCCAATCATTGCAATCAATAATGCTTTTGTAGATTCTCGCCTGCCGACGCTATCGTCCTACAACGTCAACGTCGCAGCACGGAAGCCCACAATCAACTCTGATTGCCGAGCAGAGCTTGAATCATGCAAAGACATGGGAACTAAGTTTGCCAGTTCAATTGAAGGGTAGAAGCCAAGGCGTAGGATTGGACGAGGTAAATGACCAGTGGGCCTCTTCGCCGGGGGTCGTTACTTGATTGCGGTGGGCGGCCGTGGCGGCGGGGTCCCGGCCCCGCCCCAGGACGCTTATCCCCGAGAAACTCAAACCCGGCCCCGAGATGGATCGGCGCCGGCAATGAGCTACGCCCGTAGTCCGTCGATTCGCCGACCACAGCATACGCAATCATGACCTTGGCGATGTCGTCGCACCGATAACGGAGTCGATCTATCAGAACTTCGTTGGATGGTAGCCCGGCAGCGGTGTTGAGCTATCATTATGAATGTGTCCAACTGGTGATCACCTGGGCTGATTGTCCTCTATTTGGGAACTGTTTGATTCTTCGGGGACATTTGGAATGAAGAAAAGGGTTTCACGTTACGTCGAATGGTAGTCCACATGCCCAGACTAGGCGCAAACGACGAAGCAAACGGAAGTGGAAATGAATGCCAAAATGGCAGACGAGGCGGGGTTTAAATGGAATTCACGATCTTCAGGAAAAAGAGAAATGCAAAATAAACTGACTGATTCTCCTGTGTCTACGCTGCTATGCTTCTCAAGTACTTAATCACTCCCCTTACAGACGATGATAATAGAGCTCACAAGTGCTTAGATAAGAGTAGTAGAAAGAACAATAATGAGAGTAACAAAAGCAATAATCATGTAATAAGAACGACGATAGTAGAGACGACGACGATAACGACGACGGCGGCGGCGATAGTAAGATGCATGCTTGCAGGAGAAGTAATCGCAGTAGCACAAGAAAAAAGTCAGTCGCGTCTAAAAATGGAGGTTCAGATATGAGCAAAAAAGAAATCTGTGATAGCACGACCTGGTTTCGATCCAGGGACCTCTGGGTTATGAGCCCAGCGCTCTACCCCTGAGCTACCGTGCTTGCTGCTTGTTGGAAATTCACGACCACAATTGCCTCAAGACACACGCAGTGGAGAGTGTGCTGTGACTCATTCGTGAACCTGGACGGTGACTGGATTGTGGGTGAGGCCAAAATTCGGCCCCAACCCGTCGCCCACCACATCTATGAACCTTGTGTGTACAACCCTTTGGAAACTCCACTCTTGAAACCGAAATGCTCTATCCAACTGACATTACAACAAAGTACAACGGAACCAAATCTTCAATCATATGCCCCATGTTCTATACCATCTTGCACCCCTCTATCCGGCTTGTGCCCATGATGCTAAGATCCAACTCTAGTTGCGCAACACCAAACCAAGTACACTACCAAGAACACCTCTTACACGCTTTGGGTTCTCCAAGATGCAGGTAAATACTACCGCCGTGCTAGCAGCAAACACAACCGTCTCTCTCCACTGCTTGTCCATGCCATACCGGCGTGGCAGCAGCGTAGCCATGGCTCGGGGGGCAACGAAGAGAGCCATGTCCTTCTGACGGCTTTGCGTCTCGACGAGAACGCTCCAGCCGCAGAGACAGCACCCCGTGCCGACGCAGAATCCCGCGTCGATCGTCTGTCTTGCGTCCCGGTCCTTGCCAATGATGTGAGGCCCAAGTCGGGTCCTCGCGAGGCAGACGCCATAATAAAACAAGGTAATGTATGTTCCTAAGAATGCCGACGACCGCGATGCGGAGAGCAAAGCCCGTACGAGGCTCTTCTTGTTGATGGGCCCCCGTACGAGGAGCGCCATGCTCAGCGGGAGGTACATGGCCATGGACCACTTCCACGACCGATAGAAACGGCTCAACGCATGGAGCTCGCACGACGGACCGACACCCATGTGGACCATCTCGCAGGGAATGGGGACGGATTTTGCTGGGTCTCCCCAGTCCATCGGCCACTTGTACTTGGCGCACATGCCCTGAAGCAACTCTGCCTGTCCAGTATCTTTGCCGTAGATGAGCTTGCCATCACGCAGCCTTTGGAGAGCTTCAATCAGCCGCATGTCTACGTTTGCCGCCGAGCTGATCCATTTGTTGTAAGCAATTGGGAGCCTGGAGGGGTTGTAAAACCACGCCCACATGATCAGAGCACATGAGGAGACGAATAAGCATGGGTCAGTGAACCTGCCGATGATTGACTCAACCTGGCGAGCATGAGTACGAATGGTAACTGTTGTCGGAAGCATTTGGTCTTACCGTCGTCCATTTGCCCTGAGCTACGCGACGTGCACGCCTACGAGACCATACTTCGCCCACCAGCACATCGAGAGCTCGAGTGAGTGTGAATAGGGTCAAGTCGAGTGTTCGCCCGGCGTAGCGTATCTCCTTCTCCTGGACTCCAGGCGGAGCATCGGACTTGACTGGAACTACTTCTGTGAACCCCGCAGTCTTCTTCGACTGCAGGAGCTTCAGACTAAACCAGGCGGCAATGAAGGTGGCGCTGCATCTTGCAAGCCTGGACCCGAGTTAGAATTTGCCAACACCAGACGAACCCCACAACACGAGACTCGGCGCTTCTCGACAGCGGGCCATCATATCAGATCTACATACCTCACACGCGTAGCCTCACTGAGGCTTTTCGCAGTCTGCTCAAGAAGCCTCCGAAGTGGTTCCTATCATAGTATCTCAGCAATCAATACAAGCCAAAGGATCCAGCCAAAGAAAGCCAGGACGCCAAGCCAAGCCAGTGAGATGAGTTGCAGACGTCCTATAGAAAGAGATGAATGCAAGGGACGCAGTGTGCTTTGACTAGCCTACAACCAGCAGCATTAAAGGCTGAAGATGACCAAAGATTGGACTCTTCGTCTTATCAACGGCAGGGCTAATGGCAAAGACGGCTTTTGAAGTTCGCATGTCGTCTTGTTGCCACACAGTTGAGGGGTCTAGCCTCAGCTGAAGACACGACGATCCACCTTCTCACATAGCCGGCGTCCGAGTCCGTCTCACTGGTGTCTAGTGACATACCTCTAACAGAGAGCCACCACCAACGATGACGGCGCAAAACGTAGGGAAACGTTGTGGATCGAGGCCGGCGAAGACTATTCGCCTCAGTTGCGCCACGAACCCAGCGCATTGCTTTTCATCAGTCCCGTTTTTGCGGCGCCTCTTGGTGATGTACTGCAGCAACAGGGTCAAGATCCTGGGGCCGACGGCGGAGGCATAGCCCAGCAAATAGGCCCGCAGGAGGGGCCGTAGGATTGGCGGAATTCCCTGGAGCTCGAGCAGGCCATTCCGGCGGATTGGCATCTGACTCCGAGGTAGCATTGCGGAGGGACGAGATGCGACGGCAGCCATGAGGCTTCGGCGTCAGTGCCGGCAGATGGACTGGCACTGTTCCTGATCATAGAATCAGCGATCTGTATCAAAAACAGAGGATGCGTCTGTGCATTGGATACGCGATGATGTAACCGTACAATGGAGTGAAAAGCAACCGGCCGAATGAGACTTTGGTGGGATGTATTGTGTGTGAATAGGATATGTGGCTGGAGACAAGGGGTGCTACCCCAGGCAAAGGAAGGGCCAGCAATGAGTGATGGCAGGGCGGCGCAGAAACGGTCGAGCTGTGGTAAGGCATAAGGTAAGGATGGATGGTTGGTCGGGTAGGTTAGGTCAGGTATGGTATGGGGGAGAGGCGCGGCAAGCGGACAACCCGCTTCGCATAGTAGGTATGAATCATGCCGGTTGGAGGCATCTAGGTAGTGTAGGCACGAAAGGTCTTTTTGGTTATTAAGAGCAAGTGTCTCTCGGCACTGCCCGGCGATTCCTTCACTTGAGGATTGCCAGATGCCTCGGGCCATGGACGCGTCCTGCAGGAGGAGTGCCTGGGCAAGTACAACAATGGGAGGTAGCAGGGGGCGGATATGTACTCCGCAGTAAGGTAGGTGGATGAGCAGCAGGACCGCGAACTTATGGGCGCGTCTTACCAGGGTAAGGTGAGCTGGTTGTGCGACCTAGAGGATGTTTGCCAATTGGCTTCGTGGGGTCTCGTGACGGCGGTTCGTCTGCCGCCAACCCTCGAGTGCCAAGGGCAGGGCAAGAACAGTGCCCAATATCGAAAAGTATCGCGTACCTTGCGTACTAAGAGATGAATAGGCGGGAATGAAATAAGAAATTGTGGGGAAGGCAACGTGTGTCCCACGATGTGACGGAGTGACGGAGGTTGCAGACCTCAGAAAGTGAGAAGACGGGGAGGCGGGGAGGCAGGGGGGGAAGAATTGCTCTCCGAGAAGCATGTGTCGATTGGATACTTCGGCAGGTAGGTTGGAGGAAGGTCGGATGTGGCAAGCGTGACCGAGAGACTTTGATGACTGGGCTGCCACTGACTGTACTGCGTAAGGTAGTGTACCTTCACCTGGGCAGTCTGCCACAGCCTGAAATTAGCGGGCTGCAATTGGCTGGAGAGGTCACAGAGGGAAATCAGGTGGTCTGTCACGCTGGTATTCACGCTGACAGCCAGGAAGTGCGCGGTAACGACTTGGCGCAGGTGCACCAGAAGAGGGTTAGGCGCAGCAATCCATGCGAGTGCGACGGGCTCAAAGAAGAAAAGACTTCACAGCGAGTCTGAAGTTTGTGTGGTTGACAGGAGACCTGAAGGGAACGGTGTTTTGCGTTGGCTCGGCAGATGGAGAGCGATGCTGAGCTGTGCTGGACAGGGGAGGCCTTGCTTGCCTTTGGACTCCCGGCTCGATCAGTGCGATCGACCGGCCGTCAGAATCTGAAGTGCAGTGTCTTGCCTTGCCGTCGGCGCTTGTTCCTCTTGCCTGGAGGAATTGACAGTTTGGGAAGTTGACAAGTTGGAATCAAGAGTAGCAGGCTGGGACGGCCAGCCGTTTCGTATCGGCCGAGGCGGTGATTTGTTTCTTTGTTTGGTGCCGTTCTGCTAGACCACCTGGCATTAGCTTGAGGCCCCTTTGGAGGCAGCTGGACCGTTCAGAGTGTCTGTGAGGTGCCTTAGTGTAATCCGTCGGCCGCTAGTCTACACGTTCCATGCCTGGGACTACGACTTGAGGCAGGCAGGCAGGCAGGAGGCGAGACTCGAAAGGATCGAGACAGATGCAGAGCAGAGGCAGAACGGAGACGGAGTCGGAGGCAGAGACAAAGACAGAGATGCGACTGCAACAACGTTGGAGCGGCAATGTCATTCAATTGGACGGCGACAAGCGCAACTTGCAACTGGTCCGTAGCGCGGAGCGAGGCGAGACGAGAGCGGTGTAACAGATCTAGTTCCAAGCGACAGATGGAAGCAACGAGTTTGGCCGAAAGATGGGCAAAATGGGCAGCAAATTCGCAAACTTGTCGCGGCCAAACGGCGTCAAGGGAAAGGAAGGTGTCGGGTGCGGATGGAACTAAGAAAGCTACCCCAAGGGCTGGGGAAAGCTTGGAGGTTCGATGATGCGGAGCACCGGTACAAAGTACTTGTCGCGCCAAGCCTAGAACGGCAAGGTGGAGGGTATTTCCTGGGGCGAGGGAGGGAGAGTTGACAGAAGACAGCGGGAGGAAGGAGGAGGAGAGGAGAGGAGACATTGAGACACTTGAGGGTCGAGAAAGCTCCGAGTTGGCATGTGATGCCGCTGTATGTGAATAAGCCCGCTACGCCTCGGAGGCGCGCCGGTCGAGCTGCCTAGATGGGTAGCATGGGTAGATGCATGACACATTGTCTGCGAGTGCCCAATCATATGTGCCTCCTGGCTGCTGTCATCCGCCGCTGAATCAGCACCGTTTGGATGATTCCCCCGGTTGTCTCATGTCCGCACGATCCGACGGTCTCCACAGGCCAATCGTTGGGCGCAGGGAATAAGAAAAAAAAAAAAAGAGACACAAAAAACCGACAACGAAGAAGGACCGCCGACTCAGGGCCCTCTGCTGGCCACCACCTGCCTGCCTACCTAATTCCAGCAGCTGCAGCTGGCACTAACTGCGGAGGCGTGCAGCTCGCTGCAGGTGACCGTGACCGTGCCGGGCTTCCACACCCCCTCCTCTCAGGTCTCAACAACCCCCCCGGTCAACAACCAACAGGGGGAAGCCGTTTGGATTGCTTGGTGCCCCAGACACTCATTCTTTTTCGACTCAGCAGCAGCGCCTTGATTTCCTGCTCGTCATTTTTCCGCAGCTAAAACCACGGGGTCTTTCGAGCCCTCCGTCCTGGGCCCGTGACCATCGCTTCCCTTAACCCTGATCTTATCTCGGGTCCCATTTGACAAGAGGAACGGGAAGACACCCTCAATTGCTTGCTGCAGCTAGCTCCTGGCCCGGGCATGCAAGCAACAAGTCAAGTACACTTCACTCGTACAGGGCGCGAACGAACGGGTGAAAAGACAGAAGCCGCTCGGCTTGACCATCAGCACCACCCAGCGTCAGGTCAGAATCAGATTCCGCACCCGCACCAACATCAGCGCGTCTATGTTCGTCAGAGAATGCTGCATTGCCCCAAGTGAACTCGGGCTCGCATCCGATCTTCGACAAACACACACGTACCCCCGTCCACCTCTTGGCCCCGTCACTCTCAGGCTCAGGCTCAGGCCAGACCAGACTGCGCTGTCGACCTTCTTCGCCAGCTGCTCAACACGTCTCAAGGGTCTTCTTATTCTTAGCCCTGCATGGGCCGCATTAACGTCCGCCATTCGGGGTAGACCTTGGACATCTTCGTCCATGAGCTCAATCCAGACGCTGCACTGCTACACCTTCCGCACCTCCTCTGCCAAGCCAAGCCGAGCCAGCTGTGTGTTGCTTTCTAGGTCAGGTCAGGTCTGCTTTGCTCTGCGCTGCTCTTGCTCTGCTCTGCCTCCCAGGTCCTTACCTCGCCTCGCGCCTCGCCTCACCTCACCTAACCTCACCTCAACTTCCTTACCTGGCACGGCTGCCTTCGTCTCGCACGCCCGTCCTCTCAACACCACCGTCCATTCTGCCCACCCCTCACTCCCCCGCTCTTCAGACGAGCGAGAAGAGGCAAACACGCCTTTCCTGGCAAAGCACTAGAAATCCAGAAACTCGGTGCGGCGCCTAAGCGCAGCCACCACCCCACCGCCGCCTCTACGTAACCTGACGAGCACGACTCTGGCCTCTTCCTGCTCTACCACGGCGCGCTCCTAAAGACGGCAAACATACCCACCAGCCTCTTCCAGTCTCCCGCCAAACTGTTCCAACTACTTCTTACTGCTGCTGCCACAACAACAAGCCGCCACCCCACCATATCACAAGACAGACGAAAGACTGCCCGACATCTTAACGTCTTCCGCACGCCCTATCTCAGCTAGGCGGGCCTTTCGTATACAGATTGGACGCACTGCACTTTCCGCTCGAAACACGTTCCTCCTGCCATGTGCCTATAGTATATCGACAGCCCCAGAGGAATGCGCATATCCACCGCCGAGCCGTCCGTCTTCATTCTTACACAAACCGAGCCTCTGTACCGTTCGTCTCTCCCCGGCGAAATCACCAGTCTCGACGACTCTCGTCCCGTTGCCACAAGACGCATCCATGCTCGCCATACAACGTCCCAGGATGGGTTCGACGCAGCCGTCAGACCCCAATTTGCCCTTCGGCTGTATGAACCCACGTCTTCCATTCTCACCCAGTGCTACCGGTTGTGGTAAATGCTAACATCGTCTTCCTCCAGATGCCGTTGACGCTTCCTTCCAAGACTTCAACCTCGATCCTCCTCCCGAACCCGCTCCAGGCGCACCCATCCTGACCGCAGATGACTCGAAGTTATTGAGTTCCTTCTTCGAAGACCTTGGAGCGGACCAGTATAACATCCCTTCGTACGGAGAAGGCCTCAACTTCAGCGATGCTTGGCTAGAACTACCACCCGCCTTCATGGGGACGGCCACGTCTTTTGGCCAGTCCCCAGCACCACCTTTGGCCTCCCCAGGCCACATAATACCACACACCGATTTCCCTGACATGATGTCTATGGGCTCAAACTTGATGCCCCCACCGCCACCACCTCCTCAGCAGCAGCATCAGTCTCTCGACCAGCACCATTCGGCCGATGTTCTGGCAGCTGCCACATTACTACAGAATGGATCTTCATCAAGATCCAACAACACAAGTTCCAGCGCAATGTTCAGCAACAACAACCGAGACGTGACGCATTCCCTGGGCCCTCCGGTGGGCCACCTAAGGCACCAGCCCATGGAGGATTTCAAACGAGCAGAGCGAGGTAGCGTTGCTCAGACCGACCTGACCGAAAACCACGACGGCACCTTCGCAGATATGTTCTTCGGCCCGGCGCCCGGCGAAAGAGTGAATACCCAACGAACGAGCCAGGCTCCGATCGATATCCAGTGGGGTACAGACGCCCGGTTTGGCCGCTCCGATGCCTTCGTTCCTGACCCGAAAGAATCATACGACGCCCTGTCAAAGGGCCAGCTGAGATACATGGAATGTCTGGAACGGAGTGAAAGCACAAACAATACACGCCCTCCAAGCCCCAATGGCGAACACGCTTTAGGGAAGGGACACAGCCGGAAATCTTCCGAGGTCTTAAAAAAGGAGGAGGATGCCGACGCTCCCCCCCGCAAGAGGAGGAAAAGCAGGAACACCAAGGAAGACATCGACGAGGAGGATGAGGAGAGCGGCCCTTCCACAAAGGCAGCCCGGAAGCGAAAGACGAAGACGGAGCCTTCCGCCACACCACCAGCAGAGAATGGAACAGCGAGTCGCAGACGCAAGTCAGGGACGGGCGCCAAACCGCCCCGTGAGAACCTGACGGAGGCTCAGAAACGTGAAAACCATATCCGAAGCGAGCAGAAGCGACGGACTCTGATCAAGGAAGGCTTTGACGATCTTTGCGATCTCGTACCTGGCCTCAAAGGTGGCGGCTTCAGCAAGAGCACCATGCTTACAATGGCGGCCGAGTGGCTGGAAGATATGGTCAAGGGTAATGAGGAGCTGAAGGCTCAGCTTAACGCACTCTAGGGAAAATGACGAGGGCCAAGGTCGTCATACTACAACCAAGTGCGAGTATATATGTATATGTTGGTTCACGATACAAGCCAATTTGTTTGGAGCAGGCGTTCATCTCGTTGCAAGCAGCATCATGGGATTAGAGGGAATCAGAAACGGGAACGGCGCTCTGTGGACGTTATCCAGGTTGGTCAGGCCAGCTAATGATTATCCTGCTCATGAGGCTGGTTTCCAAGAGGGGGGATATTGGTTCAAATGCAGGCCGCCGGCGGGAGGCGACGACACGACGACTTGTGTCCGGGAGAAAATCTTACACCAAATTTATTACTAACTTATAAGGGCGGCTGCTCTTGGATACCCTTCTTAGTTCTTCACTTTTTTTTTTTTTACTCGGTCAATAAAATACTATTGAACAACATTATGCCATATAAGTTTCATGTCGCATATTGCACGGGTTCGAATGATCATGATGCTCCCTTCCAATTCTGTTGAGTTGGATCTGCCATCTCAACTTTTTGCTCCCTGTGGACTGACACAAACGCAGGCCTGCAAGGGTTGAACACGCCCAAGTCTTGGAGGTCCCTCGGGGGGAGACCAGCTTTTTTTCTGACATGTGAAAGCCAGGACCGCGTGGTGCGGATGCACCCCGCAGGTTCCTCTTTTTTTTCGATGTCGATCACGTATGCGCAACTCGCTCACTCACTCACATACCCAGGGTTGGCAAACTAGTCAGCTAGTATTTAGTCAGACTAGTGACTTAACTAGTTTAGTCAGACTTAAGTCAGCTAATCTAGTTGACTAGACTTAACTAGCCTAGTCTTAGTCACTATACTGACTTAACTAGCCTAGTCCTAGTCAAATTATAGCAGACTAGTTCTGACTAGTTAAGTTATATATAAATTAATTAAAAAACCCTTTTATTAATTAATTAGTTAATTAAATTAAATACTAATTATACTATAGTTATTAGCTATTAATATATATATATCTAATAGTTAAATATTAATAGTTTATATAAATATACTAGCTATAAAAATACTTTAATATATATACTAATAACTAGTCTAATTTAGACTAGACTAGTTAACTAGCTAGTCTAACTAGTTAGTCTACTAGTCTAGTTAAGTTAAGTCAGCTTAATAAGCTGACTTAACTTGACTAGCCTAGTATTAGTCAATAGGGTGACTTAACTAGCCTAGTCCTAGTCAGCCTGTTGACTTGACTTGACTTGACTAAATCCCAACCCTGCACATACCTAGTCGCCTTACAACACCAGATTCCCCAACCTTACCCAAACGACGGCGCTTGGCGAGGGTATATGTTTCAGCTGCTCCGTGCCTGCATCTCTGCGATATTAAGTCGGAGATGACTTCCGCATGTCTCCCGCTAGCTTACACGCAATCCCGTTCATCCATTCTGGCCCGTATCACACCCAGTGAGGTTCGTCAATGTCTTGGATGGCGGGGGAGAATGCCCGTGGTGGGGTAGAGATGGTCCCCCGGCACCCCTCTCCCGCCCCAAAAAGCGCCCGCGGTTTCTTGATCGCGGGGGAAAGATCTGAGCGGCCGGCGGTGACGGGGAATTTTTTAAACGATGGTTGGAAGATAAGGGAAAAGGGACAAAGCGGTGGACGAATGGTGTGCTATTTGGGCTGTCGGCGGCCGTGTGAATCTACTACTACTGACTACTACTCGGATCTATCTCAACTAAACCCTTATGCACCCCTTCTTCGCCCTACGGTTGGTTGGGTGGGAGGGCACGGAGGTGTGGCTTGTCTAGTTTCCTGCCAACGACGATTTTGTTGGTGTGGATGGCGGGCGTCTTAGACCTTGGGTAGGAGGGAGAGGGAGATCAGCTAATTCTAGTCAGATGGCGTTCGACTACTTTCCCTCCTTGTTTCCTTGGGCTACCGGCTAGTGCCCGTCGGTGAGGCACGCTGGGGAGGGTTTCGAAGCCGAGGTTGGTCTAGTGGTTTCTGGTGTTTGAAATAACGTGACGGCGAGAATGATCGGCGTTTGCGTCCCTCGGGGACCATCTTTCACGAGGATATTTCGGGTCGCTTTTGCGAGGGCGGGCTTTTGTTGTTGACGGTTTGACACGAAGAAGAGGCTGGCTTTCCTGATGCGGTATTCCGTGGGGGGCCACTGTTGTTGTCCGAGGAGGCTGAGTGAGGCTTCAACCGGCGAACATGGGGGTCGGTGCCCAGAGGGATGAGATGTGGCGTGAAAAGTGTCAACTGCCTGTCAGTTGGTAAAGTCCAAGCACTTTGTGTAGGTTATTTGTGTTTTCTTCTGGTTGTCATTGATTGCGCGAGAACGGATCCATCCACGCATGAACGACTACACAGCCACGTGCTCGGCTGAGTAACGCCCCGACGCCGGCGTCAAATCGGGCGTGTTATCGAGCGGAGGGACGGAAGACGGAGATGTGCCGTATGCGAGGACCAAACTTCGTTCTTGTCGTTGGGGGTTCGTGCATGATTGAGCGCCTCCGTCCCATCTCAATGCCTCGACGACAGGCGCGGGTTTTCAAGAGCGCAGAAGAGCTGAGGAACATCATGGTGCTCATGTCGATGTGATCGAACGAGATGAGCAGTGTGAGGCACAAAATGATGGAACAAACAGGTAATGGCATGAACTATATGGCGAGTGTGGCTAATCGATAAGAAAGTCTGCCTTCTCAACTCATCCTGCCATCTCAATATTGAATCGTCACTTGTCTACGATCATAACTAGAGGGGAACGCCACATGCCATCAACTCTGATGTTACTAAGCAACAGACTTCAGGAGTATCACAACTAAGAACATTCTGTACGAAGTTGCGTTTGAACATTCCTTCTTATTTGTGTTCATGATGTTTTCATCTGCCGTTGTTTGCGCTGATCGAAACCGACAATGACGCATAAAGCCGAGCGAGCGAAAGCGGCACTGTTGTCGTTCTGGATACGAAGTATCCGAGCTGCTCGCGTAAAGCTGTTTAGCCAGACTGGGACGTGACTATGGCCGATGGATAAGCTACGCGGTGCCTGTGACTACCATGCGTATTCTCATTTAGGAAGAGCAAGTGACAGAGCACAGTTCGTAGAACCAATCGCATCTGCATCGACTTGTACCAATAGTTCAAACAGCTCTTTGCAAAGTATACACAAATGAACATGGGCGTGTTTGTCTTTCTCCTCGTTGTAATCCTGTTGAGAACGCTAGTCGCCCATGCTTGCATTATCGAATTGCGGAACTTCTCCGACCATGTCTGAGATTCCGTTTCCAGTCCGCCCACAATTGTTCACGCACGACATAACTCTGATGAGATTCTGGATCAATTGAAGAAGACAGAGAGGTTGCTGACGAAGACGCCGGCTCACATTTACACGCCGCTGAGGGCAATCATATGTGAGAAAGAGACACGAAGTACCATGCTCATTCAATAGTATCAGGACACTCAGACTCATATTGACTTTTTACAACTCATTGTGGAGAAGCAGCGCATCTGGATTCATGTATGGGGGCTCATGCATGAGTAGTGAACTTGTTGGGTCTGAAGTTTATGTATGGCTTATTGAACTGAGCCTCACCTGAATCAGGACGTTTGACGTCTCCAAGTACATGCTCTTGTTAGAGTGAGCCTTTTCAGCACTACAAACCGTTGCAGAATTAGGCCGTTTTCGCATTCCTGCTCACTTTCGATCCGGCATGTACTGGCCGCACGGTTTTGGTGAGAGCCCATCTCATATGCGAACTATAAACTTACACGAAACGCTCATAAAATGCCGATGAGCAGCGTCGTGCTTCCTCCCAATTTTGAAGCTCCACCAGGGGTCTTTTTACAGCCGCTGGTAAACAGCGAAGCAACAACACTGTCGAGATCGAGGCAGTGAAAAGGATCCCACCGCTTGCTGTAGTCCGTGCAGCTCACATTTTGAACTTGTCTGGGGTTTAAGCCGCCTTGGACGCCAACGCAGGTACACCTCATGACAGCATCTGTATGGACGGCAGCAGAGAGAATGAATAAGGCCGCGGAGAGCTTCACAATTAATATTTGCGTCGTTTCTGATGAGAGGGCTAGCTCTAAATGAGTAGAAGGTAGGCTGTAGAGTTAAACGGTCGAATACTCACGTATAAATTTGAGATGCGTTCGTGATGGAAAGGGAGACTTGATATGAAGATTATGAGCTGCATCTCAGATATTGACTCTATTCAGTTTCTCTGCATAGAGACCAGTAGATCAGGCGTGAAGACGAGCGGAATAGCCGACTGAAGCGTTCAGCTTCGTTTGTATTGCGACGCTACGTCGATTTCCGAACAAAAGAATTCGAAGATTTCTCTTGAAGATCTCATGTTGAGTTGATACCTTCCAGTCACAGGCCCAAGATAACTATCCTTCCGGACCATATCTCACAATCCCCCTCCTCGTTCACCTGAATACCTGGATCTATCTTATCGTAAAATAGAAGGTCACTCGCTCTCGAAATGCCACTGCTCAAACGAACTCCAAATCCCTACTATGAAATGATCTTCTCCTGATACTGTCAAGGATAGGCTTGGCGGGGAGTGGCCACTACCGGCTCGGTGAACTCTTTATACTAAGCACGCGGCATGATAAGCAATATCTGAAGGAATTGGAGAACGGCGCCTGTGTCCGCCGAGCTCGTATCAGCTCAGATTGGGAATCTTGCCGCTTGACTCTTGATTCGCGTGGCTATGTGGGTCGGTGCGAGCGGAAATATTCAATATGATATTGTAGATGAGATGCTATATGATTGCACGGTATGAAGTTGTGAACAAAACGAGATGAGCAAAAGACTTACGAGTAACCCCGCAACCGGCCTTCTTTCTTCGTGACTAGACGGCGAAAACCTGCTTCTTTTTTTATCGCTGTGTCACTTTCATGTGCTGAGCCGCTTATAAATGCCCAGCAGTATACTCTCAGATGCTGGAATTACGATCTTGCCAGCCGTCGTAATGTAGCGGCGGACCGTCCCAAGGACTTGTTGACCTCAGTCAGTCTTGTCTTT